AGGGCAGAATAACGGGAATTCGCTGTATTGATTTTCTTAGATTGACCTAACAATTTCGTCCTCAACCGCACAAAGTTACCCCAGGCAATTTATCAGAACCCAGTTTCATTTCATGTATACTTTTTTATATTCTCCCTGCATGACAAGTGAAGGTATTGACTAGAGCCATCTATTTTCTGCACTTTTCTGCGTATTTTCATTATATTATCTTAACTTTGAACATGTGAAGCCTTAAAGTAGACTTTTTTAGCTTTAATTAGGCTGCCACAAGTAGATTATTATCATAAAGTCCCCTTACATCCTCATATTTTGTGTTGAGGTAGAGTAAAACCTCTTAACTTATGCTTTCTTAGCAGACCATTTTAATTTTCTTCCCCACGTCTAACTTCTGCACTTCTCTTCTTTCTGCCGCGCAAAACTGGCCTTACTCAGCTGATACAGAAGCGTCTCGTCTGTCGAGCTTTCGAGGCCTACGAGAGTATGATCTGCCCCCCGAACCGTAAGGTGACTAAGGGCCAAATCAGTCCGAGAAGAGATCCTTCTGCCAGATATGCTCGGCCCCAAGTCGACCAGAGAGCCGGAACTGTAGCTACCATGCCACCTACTGGGTCAACAACCTGTTCAGCCATCAAGCCACCAACTCCAAAAGGTTTGTCGTGTAGTCCTCTTGGCAACCTTGTGAACCAAGATCGGATGTAGAATCAGCAGTCTGTATCTAGTGATCCTGTAGACGAGGCACTAACTAGTGGGGATAAGGGTACGAAAGATTCTCGTTGGATATATAGCTCTAGCCATTCCTTTTCAAACTGGTGGGCCGGAGAGTCGAAGAGAAAAATGAGAGTTTGTATAAAAGCTATATTCACCCTAGGTCGCATAAGGTAATGCTGAAATAGGGGTTAACTTTCATAAAACATTGCACTACTTATATTCTATTTGAGTAGGTCTTTGAGTAGACCTTGAATAAGATAGCTTTAGCTGATTAAATTTTACAACAGTTTTATATTACTTAAAGTTGTGTTCACCCTATTTCGTTTAAAGTGATGAAGGATGGTACTTGAATTTTCCCACAATGGCATAAATAGAGCCTACGTTTCCATTGAATTTCACATAGCCTTGCTTTCCCAAAAGTTGTTCTCATTAAGGGTGGACTGCATAGGTCTTAGCAACGCCCCATAGAGGGAGTAGAACCATGACGATGCCGAGTATAATCTCGACACTTTAACCTATACGGAATATTACCACAAGTGCCCATGGGTTACAGGGCAGATGTGAATTTCAAAGAAGGTCAGACATTTTCCATATCACATTCTGTTTGGGGATTGTTGACTAAGCAAGCTTATATTTTTCATAGCAATCAATGACATTATTTTTTCTGAAGTGAGTAGCTTTTCGAGACTATTAGTAAATCAGATATATGACTTGTGCTCACCCTAGTTTGTTTAAGGTGATGAAGTACTGGTAGTAGAGTTTCCTACAATGATATGAGTAGAGCCTACGTTTCTATTGAGAAGGAATGGTCAGTACTTCATTCCCTTAGGTAACCTAAGGTGAATTCAGCCATTATCAAAGAGCTACTGGAAGTTTTCAATCCCACTTAATAAGAACACAACTTATGTAGTCAATTTTAAAAGTTTACTGCTAATACTTTATCGCCGAGAGAGAACTAGGACGAATACAGTTCAGGTTTATTATAAAATTTAATCATCAGTCCTATGCCACCTAGGGCGACCTATGTTAAATTCTATTATTATGCATGATTAACTGGTAGTTTTTAACTCTATGCAATACGAATATAATTATTGTATCAGATTGTAGAATTAAACTACCAGTCCTCCATCATGATATACGACCTAGGGTGGATATAGCTTCAACTTAAAATCTACCGGCATTTTTGCAACCTACAAAATCCCCATTTAAGTAATGCGGCAAATTGTGAAAGTAAGCTACCATTCCTTCATCAACTAGGGTAACTTAAACCATTATTCAAGATCAACTGGTAGATCTTTATCTTGTACTATAAGAATATGAGTCCTTTATTACCTAGGGCGACCTAGAGTGAATTCAACTCTTATTCACTATCTACTGACAACCTATAAACTTCTTCACTAGAACTGTATGTAGTATAATTGACTATATAATTCAACTATCAGTCCTTCAACATTAAAAGCAACCTATAATGAATAAAACTATTATTCTCCATCTAACAATAACTTTTAAATTTACTCCTTACTAATATAATTAATGTCACTGACTATAAAATTTAAATAAGATTCTTTTATCACTTACGTCAATCTAGAATAATTGCACTACTTATTCTTAATCACTTGGTAGTATTGAAGCCTACTAAATATGAATGAGTTCGTATACTATTCTCAGCAAAGCTAAGAAGACAAAAGAGTAAGTTTTTGTTGGTTTCTGTTTCAGTATCGGGAAGTCAGACAGAGCAAAGGTGATG